CGGACATTGAGCTGTTGACCACCACGGCTCGAAGAAATGTTTCTAGATGTTTTTAACAGGGTGTTTGGGGTTTGTTTTTGTTTTATAAAAGCTTTCCGCTGTTTCCTCTTTGTCTAAGTAACACATGAATTGACTGATACCTTTGTATTTACACAAAGGAGGCAGGGGAGGGTGTCCTGAATTGGTGGAGTAGCTTTGTGTGAATAGTTTTCTGTGAATTAAGTTCTTGTTCACAAAATGGTTTCAATTCTAATGTCATTATGATCATCCTTTTATGGGGAAGTTGTGATATACAGGCCAGTCTTCAAACTAACATGAATATTTTTAATTGCAGCATTTGACACTGTGTACCAAAGAAATGGTGATGGAGAAGCCCAGTCCCCTGCTCGTAGGGCGGGAGTTCGTGAGACAGTACTACACTCTGCTAAATAAAGCTCCTGACTTCTTGCACAGGTAACGCTTTCACACACAAACTGTTAATTAGAAATCAGATGGACATTAATGTGGTATGAGAGGAGAGGGATCTGTCTAACTTTGGGGTTCTTAGAAAAGTGTTTCATTTTACTGAAAACCCCTTAGCCTCTAGAACCAAGTCTGATCATATGGATGTATGGCTATTTATCAAGGTATTTCCTGTGTGGTAAAGTGAGCTGCTTCTCAGCTGATAAAATGGTAACGTGGACGTATTCCAGAACTACTTCTCTAAAAAAGACAGAAAAGAAAAGGAAAGAAAATAGCACTGGAAGCACTTGGCATTTAGTCCCTAAGACCAGCATGCTAATTGGAGCAGGTCCAGAGGAAGGCCACAGAGTGTTGGAGCGAGTCCAGAGGAGGCCACGAAGATGCTCCGAGGGCTGGAGCCCCTCTGCTATGGAGACAGGCTGGGAGAGTTGGGCTTGTTCAGCCTGGAGAAGAGAAGGCTCCGGGGAGACCTTATTGCACCTTCCAGTACCTGAAGGGGCTACAAGGAAGCTGGGGGGGACTTCTTACAAGGGCCTGTAGTGACAGGACAAGGGGGAATGGGTATAAATTGAAAGTGGGGAGGGTTAGATTAGATATCAGGGAGAAGATCTTCAAGGAGAGGGTGGGGAGGCACTGGCACAGGTTCCCCAGAGAAGCTGTGGATGCCCCATCCCTGGATGTGTTCAAGGCCAGGCTGGATGAGGCTTGGAGCAACCTGGTCTAGTGGAAGGTGTCCCTGCCCATGGCAGGGCAGTTGGAACTAGATGGTCTTTAAGGTCCCTTCCAACCCAAACCATTCTGTGATTATTTCAGGATACCATATTTTGCATTGCCTCTGAGAAGTTTTTATCCAGATTATGATTGGAGATTTAAGTATAGATGTCATGGCATGGACAAGGTAGGTGGAAAATACAGAAAACAGAGTAGGTTTGTTTTATCTGTGTCCACTATTTAAGTGGTACTCTGAATGTGTTTCTCTCTTTTCTCTGCCTGCCCTCCTTTTTTTTTCTTCTTTTTTTTTGTTTTTGATTGGCTACATACAGCTTGTCAGTTAAGATTTTGCACTTCCACATTTGGACTTAAAGCAGCACAGTCTTTTAATACATAAAGGTGCAGTAGCTTTGCTGGTGTATAAAAAGACAAAAAGCAGCCGCTCTTTGGGTTGGCCTTCTCTCCGTACTTGACTTAAGGTTGATGGTGAAAAAATGGACTGTTAGATTGAGCACAAGTTAGAGCTCTCAGGTGGCTTGCTTAACAATTCAGTCTTTTCAATAATGCATCTTTTCATCTATAGCTTTGAGGTAAGGAAAACAAATGGTATCATTTTTACTTAAATCACTGAAACCTCTCTGGAACCATGTCATTTTCTGTGTTTAAATCTATTTTTAAGGTGTCTGAGCAGTGTATTCCAGGCTTTCATAATCTATGTTTAGTAATCTAACAGCAGTTAAACAGGATTTTCAGCAAATGCAGAATTTTTTTCTTGCCTTCAAAACTTCAACAAATGAGTCAGACCAGATCAACAACTGGACGAGTATGTCCATGGAACATAGCGATACCCGATAGTTTGCTCTGACCTGAGAACTGTGTTCCATAGGTAAGCATCATGCCTGGGTGTTTTCCCCAGCTGGCCTGGGAAAGGACCTCTTGCCTTGGAGTTGGCTTCGGAGGCACCTCTTAGGCAGGTCGGTCAGCACTTAGCATCTTGTCGATATCCAGAACTGCCTGTTGCCTGTAAAGATCAGGCAGTTGCAGTTCTTTTTTAAAAGACTTAGAAAGGGTGTGACTATTCAATTTTTTCAAGGCAACAATTATGGTGGGAGCAGATAATGCAATGGAAATCCTGATACCGGAACAGCAGGGCCATTTTTGAATAATAGAAAAGCCCAGGTTAGTAAGACAAGTTTCTTGTGAAGCGTGCTGTCATTTTGCTCTGAAACCCAGACATTGTTTCCATAAACAAAGTGACAGAGAAGAGTTTGTAAGGGATGATTAGGCCACACACCACAGCTTAATACCAAAGGCAGAGGGAGGATTCTATCAGTTCTGCGGTGAGATTGCCTTTTCTGTTTGTAACATTTATGTTCACTGGCAGCTAAACTATGTATTGGGGTAAATCACCCATGCATCCAACTTGGTGTTGAAAATAGTCTTTGATTTTGCTTTTAAGAGCATTTAACCATAAGGACACCAAGTGTAACCTTGGCAGGATGTTTGTGTGTTTTGATTTAGATCAAAATACTGGCGAGATGTTTTTCCTTCCTAACTGCTTCAGTCGAAGAGGAGCAGCCAGCTGTTCAGGTTTGCCTTCCCTCCTGCTTTCCTTTAGTGTGGCAACATCCGTTCCATTGCATCAATATTAACACGTGCTGTGGGAGCATCATGGAGCTGGTGGTCCTAGTACATTTGGGATGCAGACTGATGTTTCCAGACTGGGCTGATAGTAAATTGGCAGAAGTGTACACGTGAGGAAAAATGGTGTTTGAGGAGACCTTCAACCTGTTGAAAACAACCTTGGTGCTTTGTAGTAGGTACCAGATATTACTGCTACACCTCTTAATATCGAGCTTTACTCAAACAACTCCAAAATGCAGCTTTCCAAATTATGCTGTATACATGGTACATGGAGTGGGAATAGGGGATTGTCCATTTCTTGCAGGAATTGTGTTTTCAATTGTGTTTATTTTTTAGGTTTTTATAAAGAGGAGGGACTGTTGATGTCCCCTCAGTTACCTGTCTCCCAGAATGGCCCTGCTGAGGTCTGGGGATCTGGGTAGACACCCACAAGGCAAGCTCCCCCTGGTGCAGGTGGTACTCTGTGCTCATGACTATTCTCTGTCCACTTGAAAGGTGGCACAAGTGTTGCTGACAAAACATCCGTGAAATTTCTCTTAAAGGTCTTTACACAGAAGTGTCCTGGAGGCTTTGATCTGGTTTGATTGAATCACAGCTGATTCTGGAGCTGCTCGTGGGAAATGTCTTCTAGCCAGTTTTAGTCTCTGCCATGGCTGTCCCTTTCTTTGGGCTGTGGAAGTTGCTACGTTTTCCTAGTCAGGCTCCAGTGTGGAGGACATTTGCCTTTCCATTCTTTGGCTCCACCTTGTTTATGGATCATGTTCTTCTGAGAGAGCATCTTCTCTTTTCTCTTGCCATTAGTCTGAACAACAACTTCCTTACTGCTGCAGAAGGAGCTTGGTTGTCATGGCTTCCTGATGCTTGATGTGCCCCTTGTTGCAGCGATAAGGGAGTTTGGACAGCAAGTATTAAATTTAGGGGTTTATCCTACTAAAAGCTTGAGAAGAGTACCGTGTATCCTATTGCTAGTCATTATCCAAAGCTTATCCAGGGGTTACAGGTAAGCAGAGATCAGTTTGCCTGCTAAATGGGTGTTACTCAGTGTAGTTTGTATGCTTGTTGCATTTTTAAGTGAATTTATATGGCTTTACTAGCCCCCTCACTGAAAATGTATAACTCTCTATAACTGGGGTCTTAACATGTACCCCTTTCCTGATCTGCAGTTCCCACTTGTTAGGTTATTCTGTCTACCCAGGAGTTTGAACAGTTCCTTAAAAGCGAGTTAAAACACTTGGTCCCCCTGTGAAAGCATTTAGTAAGATATGCTGACTGTCAGAAGGCTTAGTTTGGAATTTAGAATGAAAAGATGTTTTCCTGCCTGCTTGTGCACTGCTTCAGCTAATCTTCTTCATACAGTACGAGGTATGTTGTAGAGGTAGGACAAGCGTTAGCCTTCGGACCTCGTGGCAGTCACTCCCGAGGCAAAACATGCTTCTGAATAAGAAAAGGGGTGATATGGTAGTTTTTTCTGTCCTATTAATTTAAATGGACAGAAAATATTAAGCATTTGTCACATGCTTTATAAGCTGGCAGTAAAAATCCAACCTAAAACTTAGACTATTCTAGGCCTAAAATTTCTAAGTGGAATGGAAGTGCAAAGAGATCTATGAAATGAAGAAAAATATTGGAGCAAGTGTACATATATTACATATAAAAATACAAACTTTTGAAATCCAATTCAAAATCCGGGTCAGGAAAGGGGCTTAGGGTTTGTTTTTCTTGGAGTGGTCCAGAGGTTTGTGCTGTTTACAAGAGCAAAAGCACAACTGCTACTTGTTGGGTAGCAAAAATATGGAATATGAGGTTTGTGTTGAAAGTTACACAGTGGAGGTTGCTCTAAGTTGTGATTCAATTATTGTACACAACGATGCAATTAACGCAAATGAATCACAGAGCGGTTTGGGTTGGAAGGGACCTTAAAGCCCATCTAGTTCCAACCCCCCTGCCATGGGCAGGGACACCTTCCACTAGACCAGGTTGCTCCAAGCCTCATCCAGCCTGGCCTTGAACACTTCCAGGGATGGGGCATCCACAGCTTCTCTGAGCAATGAAATACTGTCCAGTGCTTAACTGTAAGAAGCACAGAGAGAACACTGCTTTTGGGCTGCATCTCGTGCTGAACTTATCCCTGGGTATTGCAGCAGTAAGATCCAATTTTATTTGGCCTTCTTTTATTTGCTGTTTTTTACACTTGATTTCAGACAGCTTTTCTACCGGGGGCTTTGTTTCTCAGCTGAGGGGCCTATGAGCAATCTGGTCTTTCGTAGTGCTTTGGAGTTTTGTAATGAGCTCTTTGGGCACTGCTGCCGAGAAAGCTGTAGTGTGAAAGAACAGCCACCTATGGCAGAGAGACAGGATAGATGGGGAGGTGGGTTGGCTGGTCAGGAAGTTGTCTGTGCCGTCTGGATCCAAGTCAGAATCCCCCACTGCTGCCCCAAGCTTTGAAGAGAAGGGGGGTTCGGATGCATGGCAGGCAGGTTGTTCCTCCCTAGGCAAACGCCTTGGCTGGGTAGCGTGGCTTTAACACAGGCAGATGATTTTGACATTGGGGAACCATCAAGTCAAATGGCCACTGTGCTTAAAGGGAGCAAGTGGAAGGTTGAGGTTGATTTAGGAGCTTGCTATGTATCCCGGGCAAACCGGAATGCTGAATATTAAGCTTGTTAGTTCCTGTATTCTCGAAACCTCGGAAGTGGAAAATACATCTTGAGCTGCTGTTTGTGCTGAAATTCCTGATGCACTGGGCTCTACAACTTTTGGTTAAAATACTTACTGTATTTGATTCTGTTTTTTCAGTGCTATAACCTTTGCACCTCTTCACTTGCAGGTTTTATGGCAGGAATTCTTCTTACGTCCATGGAGGACTGGACGCCAGTGGGAAACCGCAGGAAGCAGTGTATGGTCAAGCTGTGCGTATCAAAATCAGCCCTGTATTCCTCGCCAATGCTCAGAACTTAGTTGTATAAATCAGTCTTTTTCTTTACCAATAACTTCTACTTTCTTACCTGGTAAATAACGTATTATGATGCTGCCTCCTGCTCAGAGGCTGATAGGAATTTGTTGACTTAATTTATTTCTTTTTTTTTTGCTTGATTGTTGCTGCTTTTACTGTGGGTGCTGTTGGATTCATCAGCTTTGAATCTGAAGAGCAGAAAATATATTTAGGATGGGAAAGAAAATCCAGAGGACACGTTAGACTTGTGCTAGTCATGTATCTTGTTTCAGTTAGAAGTGGTTCCTTGGGAAGGGGACTTTTGATTTTTGCGAGTAATGTGGAATTCTGTATGCTTCCAAATCCTTCTCTGAGTGGAGTTTCGTTAAAATGAAAGATAACTGCTGAGGAACTGAAGTCAATCCAGGAAACACGAGTTTTCACTTTGGTTGTGGCTCTATCAGAATCACATCTGTCACCTAGGGGCATCTGTTCATGTGGTAGCCACATCTTTGAGCAGTGCGGCCTCTATCCCAGGGCAGGTTTGTTTTCTTCTTTCGCCGGCAGAACCTGATTGGGCAGCACAAAAATCTTGGCAGTGCAGATGTTAGCCCTCCTGTGATGACTGAGTACTTTGTGGATGTGCAGAGGGTCAGGGTTGTTGTTTTTGGGGTGGTGGTAGGGTTTGGGTTTTTTTTAAAAAAAAAAAAAGCCAACATTAGTTACATTCTGTCCCTCTCACAGGCCCTTTAAAAAATGAAAGCCTTAAAATAGGTCATGTGCTGTAATACAGCTGGAAAAATTGGATGGCAGGTTGTACACTATTAGACTACCCTAAGAAGTGGAAAACTTGGAGAATACAAGTTTGATGAGCTCAGGTTGACTGTTCTCAGTGAAAGACACTTCCTGGTTCCTGTATTTACTTGTTGAGCCTCAGTAGGGTGTGTTTTTGTGTTAGTTCAGACTGGGGCATTTAAAAGGTGTAATCTGTACAAAACTCAGCGTAGCTAAGATGTAACTCTCTGTTTCTAGGAGATACACAAGAAAGTGATGTCATTACAGTTCAGCGAATGCCACACCAAGATTCGTCACGTGGATGCTCACGCTACCCTGAGTGATGGGGTGGTTGTGCAAGTAATGGGGGAGCTGTCAAACAACGGGCAGCCGATGAGGAAGTTCATGCAGACTTTTGTGCTTGCTCCAGAAGTAAGTATGTGTAAGATTGTGTTTAATTTCAAATAATGCTGATGGAGTTGCTACAGGAAACCTGACCGGTAGCTACAATTTGTCATACCGGGGCAAAAAGTATGGTCTGGCTTTTATAGCTCGGCCCGGAGGCTGTTGTTAAATGTGTCACAGCATGTGAGTACAGAGAAACGAGCCTACTGCACCCGTCCTGAGCTGCTTGATTTTTTTTTTTAGAGTTGAAGTATTGGCGCAGTAATACAGAGCAAATTGGAGCTTGCATTTGGGAGCTGCCTTTGGCACAAATAAATATAAAAAAATGTTCTGCAGATCAGTTCTCTAGTGTAGATCTGTACTTCAAGTCTGATGGCAAATGTGAGCATGGGTTGATGCTGCGCAAGTTACTGCTCACATTTAGCTCTTAGCCAGAGCAGAGCAGTGTAAGGGAAGGGGTGTCTTGTGTTCTTTTTACTTCTTTCCCCCCACTTCATCCCAGACTGTTGTGTGGTTGGTGATTAATGTTGTGGAGTCTTGCTGAATTGCTAGGTTGTTTCCAGGCACTGTGCTGTAAGCATACAGCCACCCCGTGAAGGTTCATTCTAGTTTCTTATTGTGAAGTTTTTGTAATAGGAAAAATTCAAATTCCCTGATGAAACTGAGGGACTTTATGTTTAGTTAGAACCTACGACTGCTGTGACTTAGCAAAACAGGGTATTTTCTGCCTGAAACTTCCTTTCTCAGTTGGGCGGAAGTTACTGTTCAGTTTGCTTAGAGAAGGGGTACCACTTGGAAAATGGTCTCAGTGAAATAGTCCCGTTCCAAAACGTTGGTGTGTGCCCCAGAGCTTCTATCTAATCCATCCTTGTTGCTGACTGCTAATATACCGTAGATGCAAAAAAATGCCTGTTGCTTTCTTGTAGGGTTCTGTTCCAAACAAGTTCTATGTCCACAATGATATCTTCAGATATGAAGATGAAGTATTTGGGGATTCAGAAGGAGAACTTGATGAAGGTGAGAAGAACTGTACATGTAGTTTGTCCTGTTCTCTAACATGTGTGCAGAGCTTTCAGAAGTATCTAGAGGAGATGGAAAGGCGTGAGCTGTATTGCATTCTTGTGGAGCATATGGGGACAGGCTGAGAGAGGTGGGCTTGGTCAGCCTGGAGAAGAGAAGGCTCCGGGGAGACCTTATTGCCCCTTCCAGTGCCTGAAGGGGCTACAAGGCAGCTGGGGGGGACTTTTTACAAGGGCCTGTAGTGACAGGACAAGGGGTAATGGGTTTAAATTGATAGTGGGGAGGTTTAGATTGGATATCAGGAAAAAGTTCTTCATGGAGAGGGTGGGGAGGCAGTGGGGCAGGTTGCCCAGAGAAGCTGTGGATGCCCCATCCCTGGAAGAGTCCAAGGCCAGGCTGGATGAGGCTTGGAGCAACCTGGTCTAGTGGAAGGTGTCCCTGCCCATGGCAGGGAGGTTGGAACTGGATGGTCTTTAAGGTCCCTTCCAACCCAAACCATTCTATGATTCTATGAATTTGGGAAGGGGCTGAGGCAGGGAGTATAGGTGATGTTGCTGGAACTGTCTGCTGGTCCAAAACATTCTGTAAAATCAGGGTCATGTAGTAGTACTTTACTTCGTGAAGGGCTGAACTGGCCGTGGTTGGAGAGGCTTGGCAGAGAAGGGAAGTAATCAGTGATAATACTTTTTGCTGCCGCTAGTTTCATCAGGTAGAATTGATTTCTCTGATCAGTCAATTTTTAGGTAAAGTGGTTTGAAGAAAAACTCTATAATTGGCTTTTCAAATATGATATAGCTCACTTTGATATCATCATCACATTCAGTAATTCGTTTCTATTCAGGGGCTGAACTTGACCTGGGTGGTTTTTTCCCCCCTCTGCTCACTGAGGCAGAGCAAATCAGGGTGCAGTCAGAATGTATCTATGTGTTCATGGGCTAATTTCTGGGACGTTTTCATCATGGTTCTGTGGAACAAAGCATCTTAGGCAATCATTCTTGTATTTGAGCTTAATCTCCTTAATTTTAGGTACTGAGATTTATGAGCTAATAGTACAATCTTTCTCTTTAACTGCCACCATATGAAAAGCATCTGCTGCTTTACAACACCCTTGAACCCTCCCCCCCGAAGTTCCTAGCAGCAATATGTCTCTAGTTTCTTCTTTTTGTGAAAACAGTAAGAAACAAGGCCTCTTGAATGAGTGGAAGGGTCTTCTGTCTTCTCTTGCAGCTCATTTTGCCTGATTTTGTTGGTGAAACCTTATTTTGATTACTACCAGTTTAACATGCTTTTAAGTGCAGCTTGTGTACGCTTACAGAGATGTTTAAGGAAGTTTTTCTTTCTGTGCCAGAGTCTGAGGAAGAGGTGGAAGAGGAGCAGGAGGAGAGACAACCATCACCTGAACCTGTGCAAGAGAATGCAAGCAGTACTTACTATGAAAACCATCCTGTAACGTAAGAAGTCCATTTGATTATGTGAAGTTGCTTTTTTAATAGAAATGACAGAATTGCTTTGGCTGTGGATTCTGGATGGTTAATGACACCTTACTCCTCAAATTTGGGTAGCACTTCAAACTGAGAGGAAGGTCTACTTTTTGAGAAGTTGCTGTTCAGCTGTATTGGAAGAATAGGTCTCTGTCCTGAGCATCATAAAATCTGAACAAGATTAAAGAAAACATGTTTAGGCACATTTTTATATGAAAAATACGTTTTATTAAGCAAGCACGCAAAACCTCCACAAACACAAAGAAACCTACAACACCAAAAGCCTGTGCTTTTTTTGAAACATAGCAATGCCTTTTAAAGGCATTAAAGGGAATGCCTTTTAAAACCAGACTCCCTGGTTCCCTTGTTAAGAAAAACCATTTACGACGTGACTACCTGATGTCTGTTCAATGCATCAGTGATAACGCTGAACACTGGTCATAGAATGCTTTTCATGAGAAATTTGATGGAAGAGGGGAATCTGCTGGGGTTCTGGCAGTGACTTGCCAGAACTAAAGCATCAAGTCAGGTCTTGTTTTTGGGTTACCATGCCAATTGGAAAGAAGCTGTAAAGGCAATGTTCGTAGCTTGCCTGTGGCAGAAGCTGTGTAGGCAGAAGAGTTTGGAATTTGGTCAGCTTTTGGGGTGGCTGAAGAAAAAGTCAAGAACTTCAGATCCCTAAGTTTCAAACACACGGAGTAGGGAAGAAGCTGTGTGTGCGTTTCAGTAAGCAAGACTCACAGCTCCTTTAGTAAGGAACTGGCATGGTGTTTTTGTAAGTAAGTTGCAGGTTTTATTCCAAAACTGGCTTTATTTATGTGTATAGCTTAATGTTCCATTGGTCTCCCACTGTGCTTCTGTTCTTTTAGGAGCAGCAGTACTTAAGTTTAGCACCTATTCCTTCAGGGTTTACGTGTCTGTGATTTACAGATTCTTTGCAGAGAATTGTAAAAGATGTCTTTGCTTCAGCAGGGGTAAAACCTGACTTTGTATGCAACTAGAGGGGTACAGCTTAACTTCTGACAGTACTGTATGCATAGGTACCATCTGGCAGCAACTGGATACGGAATGACTTGTTTAATACCAGCTGTTAGCATAGCAGAGCTTATAAAGAGTCATAAACCACAAAGCAATTGATCAGCTGCATAAAACACCTTTGATTCTTGTAGCAATGGGATAGAGGAGGCACTAGAAGAATCATCTCACGAACCTGAGCCAGAATTGGAATCTGAAACGAAAACCGAGGAGCTGAAAGCTGAAGTTGAAGAGAAGACCCTTGAGGAGCTAGAAGAGAAGTCTCCATCTCCACCTCCTGTAGAACCTGTTTCACTACCACAAGAACCACCAAAGGTTAGTTAAAAGTCATATCTGTGCTTCTAGGTGCAGATGGGAAACCAGAAGGTTCGGTTTTGAACTTAGCCTTTCTGAGTGGCCAAAGTGGTACCTCTTCTCGGCGTCACGCTGTATGAAGAGTGGACCTTGGACCTGTAAAAAAGCCAAGTTTCACTAGAAGAGGAAAGAATGTTGTTTTTAAGCACAAGTCACCAATCATACATGTAATGCTCTGCTTGTAAAGTGTGTGTGTGGTTTTATGCATGTGTAAACCTTTATTAAATGTGGAGTTAACATATGTTAAGAAAACACCTCAAGCTACCACCAGCAAAAGTCTCAGTGGGAACCACTGCTCATCCTTGCAAGAAACCGTAACGCACTGACACGTGGGAAATTGCTGGTTCAACATCTGTACGGGGGCATTGGCAGTCTCCCTGAGAGGCAGGATGCCCGATCTAAAATCCACCAGGCACACCATGCATCACCTAAGTTACACGTAGGTAGTTCGAAAGAGATGGGAGGAACCAGTGAAAGCTGGAGAAAGGTGATTTGCTACCTCCAGCATCTCCTGTATTTTTTTTCCCCCCCCCCGAATCCTTTTTCTCTTTTCCTGTTTTTACTTCTAACTTCTGGCATCCACTTTCTTTGTGCAGAAGACACAACACTACAGGCTTTTCAGTCCTAGGTTTGGTCACCTCGTGGAAAGCAGTGACCTGGGGATGCTGAGGGAACTGGGCTCGCTCAGGTAGCCATAGTGAGCACGCTACACACTCGCTCCACGCCACTGGAGTCCACAGAGGGCTAGAACTAGAATCCTTCTGTATCGTCGTTGTAATGCTTGCACCACACTTATTTAATAGTCAGATATGAACCGTAGAATGAATATTTTCAGCAGACGAGTTTCCCTGTAGGAATGTCAGTGGTTTGCCATGATTAGTAGCCTAGGTTTGTTGCATTTCCTGCAGGCTTTCTCTTGGGCTTCAGTGACCAGTAAAAACCTGCCTCCTAGTGGTACTGTTTCTTCCTCTGGAATTCCACCCCATGTTAAAGCACCAGTCTCACAGGTAACCCATCTGTGAACACCTTGGATTGTCTCATTACTTCTGCAAACTGCTTCAGTTTTTTAAATGAACGGATCAATTTGTTTGCCTTAAGATTGCACAAATTAATGGTGTCTGAAATGTTCATGCGCTCGCCTTCTTGTTGCAAGCAAAGGCACGTACACGTGAGGCGTAACTTTGGGTGATGGTGACGTTAAAATCTGCTCATGTGGAAACAGGAAATCGCTACTGAAATTCTTTTGACCTAACTTAGCGGGATATGGCTTGGTTTACATGGGGAAAAAGCAAAAAAAAACCCAAAAACCAACAACCAAACCAAAAAAACCCAACTCCCCACAAAATGGCAGTCACTAAAGTGTGTTTGAAAGGGGTATTTCACTGGCGGAAGGGTCCCAGCAGTGAAAAGGGATAGCACCGTTTCTGAGAAGGTGCAAGATTGCCTTGTAAGGCAACGTCTACAGAAATCTGCCGGATTTCATTATCCGTTCATAATTTATTTGTCACAGAACCCTGTACCAACTTATGACTGTGTGAGAAATGGAACGATTCACATTTCCTTACCGGGACAGTGCTGTCTTCCCATTCCTAGGTTGACTGGGTGAGGAGGGGAAAGAGGAAGGAAAGTTTGACCGGATGATAGCTCATGTCTTGCACCTGCCAGGCTGGTGAGAGACAGTCTGAGACTTTCAATTCAGCTACCTCTATCTGTACAAACCCCCTCAAAGTAGAAAACATGTGCTTTAGCCTCTTAGAATCACAGAATGGTTTGGGTTGGAAGGGACCTTAAAGACCATCTAGTTCCAACCCCTCTTCCACTGAGGCGGTGTACCAAAGCTCTGCGTGTTGTGCTAGCTCACATCCGACCTTTTTAGAAGACTGCAGTTTTTTGGTAGAGCAGCTGGGTTGTTGCAGCTGTTGGTTTTGTACTTGTTTCTTCTCTTTTTTACTGACGGAGAGGAACCTGTCTAGGATTGCCCTTCAGCCAGGTCCATGTTAAAAAAGAAAACAGGAACAGAAAACCCAACAGAAGCATCTCGTATGGTGTTGCTTCTGGTCCAGCTGAGCCATCATGGAAATCAGATGATGGCTCCGTAATGAGCTGGGAAGCCTGTCTGTCTTCATCAGCTTCAACAGGGCTTTGAGCATTTTAGGTGGTATTGGAGCCATGAAAACGGTGGTTTTTCTAGCGCAGAATAGATTTTCCTTGTGCAAAACGAAAATTAGGTTTGATTTGTTTGCAGTAGAGAGAGTGGATCTTTGTAATGTGGTTGCAAAAATAATCTAGAATTATCGGTACGAGAGAGCAGAGTATAGCTTCTAGAAGGCCCCTCAGACTCTTTCGTGTTGCCTCTGCAGCTGGTTGGGCTTTCTGCCTTTTGGGTGACTTTTGCTGTGACTTCGTGTCTAGGTAAATCTGTGTGGAAGTTTCTAAACAACACCGAAGTGGCAAGATTTCAACTCTCGGCTCTTGTGGAGACAGAATTGGTCCGTTCTTAGCTCCTTTTCAGGCACGGTGTATAGAAAGCTGGTAGAAAAGGCACCTGAACTGTTTCTGCAAGGAATTACGGATCAGTAGCAGCTTTCTCCTGGTCTCTTAGATCCATTAATGCCAGATACTTGCATGTAGGCAGGGGCAGGAGATTGCAATAGTGGGTGAGTGACTTCCTTGGGATGCTGTTCTAGCCAGCATCAGCAGTGTTACAGAGCAGCTGCTAACTGTCCTTCTCATTCCTTTCTCTGCATCACTCCGTATTTCCCCTATTTTTTATCAAGTTCAAATACAGCCTCTCTAGTAGTAACTCAGAACACCCCAAAGGGCTGCCCACGTACCGTTTTGGCTATAAACCAGTTCAGGTCCTGTTTGTTTACAGCTGTGGGGTTAAACAGGTCAGCGTTTCTTGCTCCTTTTCTTGTGGGCAATCAGAAATCTGCCTGGCTACACTGGTAAATCAGGTCTTCCCTTTATAGTGATTTCAGGTATTCTGACCTCCCCCTGGCATTAACACATCAGCTGTTTCAGGGGTGCTGGAGGGATGGAGGCAGGCAGGGTGGTCCGACTCTTGCCTTCTGGTTTGGAAGTGGTGAATTCAGGGAAATATCCATCTATGGGGCAACATTCTCTCACTGCCTTTGTGGAAGTGATTGATGAGTGCCCTTAGTAAGTTGTGAGGTCCATGCTGACCTCCTCGACAGTGTGGTAGCTGTCTAAGGGATGATCTCACCTAGCTGCTGGAACTCTGGTGAGATGATGAAGGGTTTTTTTTTGCTTTTGTTTCACGTAAAGCGTGGTTTCTTCTTTGTTTTCTTGGCTAGTTGGTTCTTTGCATGCGTTTGGTTGTGGCAGGCATCTCGCTCTAGAGAAACTTTTAAGCCCTCTAAGATTGGAAAAATAGAATTGTACCAGCCTTTGGAGCTGCCTCATCTCTTGCTCCTTCTGTTCCATCCTCCTCTGTTTCAGGAGGGTATTCAGTTCCAAAGTTGGGGAGTAAAGGCTGACTTGTGGCTGGTTTTGCCATCATTGCCAGTAGCATTGCTGTAGCAGAAAGAGGCCCCTTTCCCTCCCCACGTGAGCTCCTGAAGAGAAGAGGCAATGTCACTTCTTCCTTAATTGTTCTCAAAGCTCCATTAGGTTGAGGTTTGCGGCGATCTTGGCTCCTGGGCCGAGTCCTCCTTCAGTCATTGTCGGTTGAAATCCTTGCTCTGTGCCTTTCGGTCCACTTTGTGTGCTCGCTGTGCAGTGAGGGTTGCAATTAGCTGCTGCTTGGGCTGTAAATGGCAGCCCTTAATAGGCATCTTGTGATGCTGCAAATGATTGCGGTGTTCTCGGGGAGGGCACTTTTGCCCAAGTGCTTTCCTCTTCAGGCAGCACCAGAGAGCACTGAGGCATCCTTCCCCCGTAAAAAGGGACAGTGCTGATGAGAAAGCAGCTAATGAGATGAGCTGTTTGTTGTCTGGGTAGACAGAGTGTTTGTGTGACACATGAGAAGCTCAGTGAAATGCAAGGCAAGTGGGTAAAAGTTAGCAGGTATTTGGGATTTAATAGAACGTCAGCCTTTGCTAAGGAGGGACTGGGTGGTTAAACCTGAGAGGCAAAGTATCTGAGAAACGGGGGTCTGCCCGTGTTGAGTTTCGCTGTTGAGGTTGCGTTTGTAAAGCAGTAAAGATGTGTGAGTGAAGGTTGGCAGGGGAGCTCCAGTGACCCAAGAGGAGGTGCAGTGAAAAGAGGTTTTCCTACAGAAAACCTACAGAAAGGATGGTTTTCCTAACTTATTCTTGGAACTGAAAAAATGATCCTAGAAATGTTGGAAGGATGAGCTGATGCCTAGCTGGGTAGAGCATGAGTGATGGGAGGGCTGAAACATTCATTTGGTGCGTAATAGCTGCGTGTTTCCTGTAAAATCCAGCTTCTTTGTCCCCCTGCCAGGTACTCTCTGGCTGGAACCATCGGTTGTCTTGAGCCCTTAAAAGAAAATAAGGGAGATGTTTAATGTAAACTACTCCTCCGCAGCAGGCTGGGCCTATAGCCGTTGTCCTTGTGCTTAATCTTCCCTGGAGGATAGTGTTCTTTATGCTCCTAAGGATAAATTTGTTTTTTGGAGATAAGAACCCAGCACAGCAGCAGCTGCTGGACTGTTGTACAGAAAATGGAATTTAAAAAATGTTGGAAATGGCTTCAGTAAGCGACAGGGAGCGTAGAAATGTTTCTGCAATGTTCTGTCTCTTTTGCTCAAATTACCTCTCGAAGTACTTTCTGCTTGTAAAAAATGGAATAGGTGTTCTAGTTCCTGAGAATACAAAGGGTCTACTTGGAGCATCGTGGCCTTGACATCAGGAACGTTGAAGACTATCTTCAGCAGGTAGTCTGTAGAAATTGTCATTTCAGGTGGCTTTATTGTGTCAGGAATACTTAACTGCACTCTGAGGGTTTTTGGTTTGTTCTCCTCTTTCGGTTTGGTAGCTGCCTTATAGTTGTTGTGCACTCGAGGAAAGGAATCCCTCAGGGACTCAGGCGAAAAATGTGATTTGTTCATCTCGGGCTGCCCCCCAGTCCGTGAAGTTTGCGCTTGGCATGAGGAAGCTTCATTTCATCTGTGTGGAGTTTCTAGTCAGGTTGAGGGATTCCTGAAGAACGGAGCATTGGGGTCTCAATGCCTGGTCAAACATGGAAAATTCTCCTTAGCCATGTTTTTGGGGAGACGCTCTGATGGAGAGATGTTTGCTTTGCACGTTTTAGCAGAGATAACTGAACACTGCAGTCCTGGATTGGTACAGAGGAATTTATAGAGGTTAAAAAAAAAAAAAAAGCATTCCCAAACACATTGACATGGATGTGTCTCTTCTGGAGTTCATTTTGTGCATGCCACTTACCTATGTCTTTTGTTGTGGGGTGTTTTTTTGTTTTGGTGAGTTTGGGGGTTTGGGGTTTTTTTTAACTAGGCCGGTGTCCAATAATGCACGTTCTCCTCCTGTTTCAGCCAAGAGTTGAAACTAAACCTGAAGCCCAGTCTCAACCTCCTCGTGTACGTGAACAGCGTCCCAGGGAAAGACCGGGTTTTCCGCCCCGAGGACCTCGGCCAGGTAATGTGGAACAGCTTGTGTGTCTGCTTGGGCCTAGTTAATGACACGTGGCTCGTTGGTGGGTCTTGCCAGTACCTGCATTGTGTTTGGCTGATCATGAACTGTCTGTTCCTGCTGCCTTCAACTAGAAATGGGGGAATAGGATTAGGAGTCCAGGCCAGTGATGAGCTGTTGGAAAGTTCAGGCATTATTTCCCAGCTTCTCTTTTGTTGAGAAGTTTTTTAACAGCCAGGCCACTCGCTTCGGTGCTGGAGTAGTTTGCCTGTGCCTTGATGCAGTTCTGAAAAGCTGCTATGGAAATACGACTGTTTCTTCCACGTCCTCTAACTTTGCTGAACCTTGGAAGTGAGAGCTCTTAAATGCCTGTTGTTGCTTTGCCTTGGAACAAAACCTCCCCGCCCTGCCAGCTTCGGTCAGTTAATAATTCTGTACATACTTTCCCATCTTGTGCAGTTGTCTAAAATACTGTTCTCGGTTCAGCTGCCTCACGTTTGTCTTAGTTTACGAGCAGCCAGCTCTCCACATTTTCTTACTCGTACACGGTATCCAGATCTGTAGGATGTTCTGGCTGGAAAACGTGCGCTTTACTTGGCAGTCATCAGAAGCGTTGAGAGGTGAAGGCCTTCTGAGTTGCGTTCATCAGCCCAGCCTGGCGGCTTGGCCAGACCTCTGCACAGCACTGGGCAAAAGCTGTCTCGGCAAAGGCCCAGCTAGGGAATTTGATCAGTCCATCGTCTCCCCTGGGTGCGAGGCCAAGGCACGAGTTCCAAGGGTATTTGCCATCGCCCTGAAGTGGTCGTGTAAAGCTGGCAGGGCGCTGCAGCAGGCACCGTTAAGTCCCCGTGACTGCAGTTGAACTGGGTTCTAATGAAGATTTTCGGTGAGTGTGTGCCAGGCTCTGGTACAGATTGGGCTTAAAAGTGCTTTGGCTTTGACCAGCGCAAGTGTATCCACTCTGGGACAGCACTGAAACTGGGAGGAGTTAAGGTGCCAAGAAAGAACCGTGACGTCTCTTACAGGTTAACGTTTCTTAACGTGTCACCTGCAGGAGCAAAGCCTGCAGCTTGTGGCTAACTGGGGTTGCACATCTGCATTTCTGCTACTCTGTTGTGGTTTAACTCCGGCTA